TTCAATATTCAGTTATAATATATGATCATTATGATTTCTTATTAATATTTCTATTAAATAATCAGTCTCAATAGTTTATTTACCATATAAATAGTCTACTATTATAATATTTGTACTATATTTAAAAAACCTTATTAATATATTCTAATGAGGAGGCAGCTAAGTTTGGTATTTAATTTAAGAAAAGACCAATAATTAACAATTTCCACAATTCTAGTTCGTTATGACAGAACTTGATGAAAAGGTCCATCCATCCGATTATGTGATCTATTTCTAATTAAATGAATATTAATGCAGTTTCCATAATTAGTATGTTTCATCATAATTATCTATGCATCCAGCAGATTCATACAAACATTTTATGATACTTAATTATAATGAAATTAATCCTCCAGAAAACTAATCAAGATACATCCAAAGGACTCTTCTATTATGTTACACAGTAATAGAAATAGTATACAGAAATTTAGTGAATCCATTTTAACACATCTTGTTTTAAAATGATTTCGGGAACATTTACTAATATATTTGCGAGTCTATGTAGAATTAAGTTGGATTAAAGCTATCAATCCTTTTTTATTAAATACCTTAGAATTTGTGCTTCCACTATAATATGAGAATGAGGTTCTAGATCTAAAAAAATCCTGCTAATCTGACAATTATAATTAGTAGACCCAAAATATCGAATCTCTCCACAGGTCAGGAAGTTAGAATTACCTTCCCATCCTAATATAAAAATAAAGAAATTACCATCTCTTTTTCTAAAACTAGCATTAAACTCATAAATCATAATTTGATGAGTTATAGATATTAAAATGAAGATTATTATCATAATAATTAATATCAATATTTTTTATTATTTTTAAATCTTAATAATTCGATTAATTTAATCAAATTAAGTATTTATTTAAATTATTATACTTATTGAGAATTAAATTAATTAATCTCTATTCTTTATACAATAAAATTTGTTAAGTAAAATAATGATTTTCAACTCAATCAACTTAATATGAATGCTTATTTTTTATGCCTTTTAAAAATTATTTGATCGATTGATTCAAATTTTAACAATAATATAATTTTTTTAGAAAATTTTCTAATCATATTGAAGAGTAACTATTTGGTAGTGTAGATTTTTTTGATTAATTCAATGTAATTATAATTCTATGATTATTCAAAAAATTTAATTTCTTTAACAATTATATTTTTGTTTCTTTTAAACAAAATTAACTAATAAATTTTCATAGAATTTGATTTTCTTTTGAAAATTCTTTTTTTTAATTTATACTTCTATTTCATTTTGAATTTATTTATAAATTAATTGAAGTAGTTGTTCTAATTTGGTCTGAATTTTATAATTTAAATAATCAAGAGGAAAATTCCAGTCTTTATGGTTGATTGTGATTGCAAAATTAACATATTTTAATTGATCACCAAACATATATTAACTCCCTTTTCATAATTTAATTCCCATCAACTTAAATGCAATACAGACGATAAGAATTAATTGTTTATAATAAATTTAGATGCAAAAGATGTGATTGTTACTTTGGTATCCAAGAATATAATATTTAAATGAATTCTTTTTATATTGATAATAACTATGAAATAAAGTTTATTGTAGTAAATATAATTACATCTACAAAGAATAGAATATACTTTTCTAGTGGTAAAAACATTATTAGGAAAGCTTAGAAAGTAAAGATTTTCGTCTTTTACATTAATGAACATTCCTTTTGTAATATCTGCTATTTGTTCAATTGAGTAATTTTTTCAAGTCTTTGAAGTATTTATGATTTATGGGCATGTTGAAAATATTTACAAAAGTATTAAATAAAAAATCACAATAATCTGTTTATTAAATTATATATAAATAATTGTTAAAATCAGTGGTTTGTTGGGTAAATTCAAATGAATTACGCGTTAAACAGAAAAAGCTCCATATAATTTTCTAAAAATAATAGAGTGCAAAAATATAGGGTACTGAGTTCTTACCTTTTAATAGAATAGAATCATTTACATTCTGAAGCTTTTTCGTGAATAGTATACGCCTTTATTTTAAGATTACAAGTCGATGATTAATCTTTGAAGTATTTTCTTGTAATTCTCTTGTCTTTTGTGTTAGTCGTGCTTCTTTAATTTCTTTCACCTTATTGTAAGTTTCTTCTGTTGATATTTAATTAAATGAGTGAAAGTTTCGTTAAGGACTGATACTTCTATTATTAACTTGAAATACAAAAGGGCTTGTTAAAAATTTAATTATGTTCTAGTCTTAGGATATTTTTCTCATCAATTCCTATCTCCTTAATTTAAAATCTTCTTTTGAATAATTCTCTTTATAAAAGTCAAATTCACTTAGATTTTTAGAATTTCGTGAATATACCACAACTCAGATTATTCATTGCTTTTATTTGAAAGATATTGAAGGCAATCTATTACTTTTTCTTTCTTAAAACTTTCCAATACTTCATTAAGGTATGATCCAACAATATTCTTAGTCTATGCCAATAACTCATACAAATCTTCCTTTCTGTCATAAGTTTACACTATTTTTACCTTTTCATTAATTACATAATTTTTTTTCTTTGATTTATTTATTCAACTTTTCACAAAAAAGCCTGAGTTTCTATTTCCAATTAATTCTTTGTCGTTTCCAACTTCTTTAAATAATTATTTTTCTCATTATTCCAATCTTCTAAAGTTTTTCCTGTACTAATTTGGACTAATTATTCTAATTCTGTATTTGACAATTATGTTGGATTCAAATTTTTGTTCATTATTTCCAAATAAGATGTTTCTTTTGTCTATATCATTTTGATATATTCTGCTAAGTCATCCCAAAATTATTTTATTTTTTGAGTTGAATTCAGCATTGTTGTTAATTCAGGTGTTTATTTAAGAGAAGATTCTTATAATTTATTCGTAACCATTTATTGAAATTTTCTTATCGGAACTGTATGTTGTTGCATATCCACTCCTTGTTCATGTTGCCATTCAACACACAGTTTTCTTGAAAATTAACAATTATGAGGAGCAATACAAATTAGCGATACTTGATTTTCTATATGATAAGAGCAATTCATAAGCTTCTTTTAAATAAAATTGAATTTCTATTACTTTTATTTGAGTTTTATACAATAAACAAAAAAAGTATATTGCATATTTAAGTTAGGAAGAGACTTGAAGTTGATGATAATTTAGTTAAATTATAATAGTGACAACTCACATAAGTTTGTGAGTAGATTGATTCTTTCTGAATATAGAATAAAAATATAAAACATAATCAGAAGCGCCACATACAAATAACAAGATTTCTCATAAAAAAAATACCCTAGCTCCTTTGTATTCTGCTTACATAATTCAATTAAGTTATATCAAATATTTTAATTTTCAACAATGTTATGATATTGTTGTGAATGTTAACTTTTCTTCAGTTCTGAGTAATATCCTAAATAATATTGATAAATGTTTAAAATATATAGAATTAACAAAGTAAATTTATACCCTGGAAAAGGTATATTAATGTTGTTGTTCTGATCTCATACTTAATTGTATGAAACTAACACTGTAATTTTTGAAATTAAAATCTTATTTTAAAAAAAAAGCTCCTATTGCTAAAATAAAGGTGATTATGATGCATGAAGGATCATAATGCCTAGACCTAAATATCATCTGAAATAATTTATGCTAATAAATCTTTATAATGTCTATCTTTAAGCAAGATTTGTTATTTTATCTAAACACATAAAAAACGAAGAATTATAAATTATTTAATCTACTATCATATTCATATATAATTATTTAGAAAATCGAATTTTCAAATAGTAGAACAAAATTAAGAAAACTTAATAAATTATTTTGTTTTTTTACTATTTTGTTTTATTACTGAAAGAATGTTTTTTTGTAAAAAATAAATAGGGAGCTTAAATTACCGCATATAATATTATAACATCCTTTAGTTCTAGCAATTTCTACAGAATATAAGTAAAAATAAAAATAATTAAACATAAATGATGTATTAAAATTACAATCTTATAAAATATATTTCTCCACTTTTTTAAATAAAATTTGAAAGAAAAAAATTATTTTTATCCAATATAAAAATCGAAATAAAAAAAAATCATTAAATATTGTAAACTATCAATTA